TGGTATTTTGGAACACAGATTCTACTGCCAATTTTTACCAGAGAGTTTAATTCGATAACGTAAAGCGACGCTGTGGTAAGTTCGTTTATTGTTAGTAACTTACTATGGAAGAAATAGTGAACGTAAAAGCAAAATGAAGCAACTATAATGAGTCTAGACTCGGAGCTTAGTAGACCCATTGAGAGTGCAAAGCGCCGACGCGATAAATTCACTCATTTCGAGCAACCATATTAACACCCTGGGGATCAAATTGCATAACCAAAGACTTGAAGGGACGTTGAGCGATTACGGTGTCTCATCGCCACCATGAGCGGTATAATTAAATTGGATGGTGCGAAAACAGTAGATGCCTGTTCAAGTATGTCGTCCGTAAAAGTCGCAATGTTATCGAACGAAAACCGTACGTACTAGATTTCATCGAATTTTATCGCAGAATGCTACACCGGCCAACGGTCGCGGTTTTCAGTAAATCTTCCGGAGTGGTGAGAAAAGGGATTAGAAAGTGCAAGAAAGTCTTCATTCCTATTTCCTTTCGATTTACATTGTTTTGACGGGTATTGAATTTACGTTTTCATTTTATTGACGTTAGCTATACTCCCTTCATTCGACGGATACTTATTCTGCCGTGCTAAGGAAAAACGCCGTATGAACTTTCAGGCGTTGCCAAATTTATTTTAATGACCATCAAATTTATTGAGAAAATTCTGAATATTTTTCTTCCAATTTTTCAGACAATTTTGTTTCCTTTTTAATCTAAAATATCAGAAAATTTCACGGAAAGATACGCATAGCTTTCTTCAAAAATACATGTTTTACTCGGAGAAATTTGGCAACTCTCGAATTTTCATACGGCGTTCTTCCTTAGCACGGCAGTATTGGCTAGCTCTGAATAAATTTCGAGCTTAAAAATCCGCATGAGGGCTAACGGACAATACCATCTTTTTTTCCAGACCTGCCAACTTTAAAGACTGAAAAAAGAGATAATAATGTCTAGGATTCCGCGAAAGGCAAACACTTGCCTGTGTCATACTATCAAAGCTAGCCATCAAAATATCAAGGTCAGGCGTTGTGATTGGCTAATTCGATGACTTGGACCAATCACAGCACTTGACCTTGACATTTTGATGGAGTATTTTGATAGTGTGACACAGGCTATTCCTCGTCGCGCATTCCTAGATGGACCAGACGACCTCTCATTCGCAACTATCAAGTCGAACACCGCAGGAGGCGCCGAATGAATCGGTCCGTGTGAAAACTGGACATTCCCATATTATCTCATTCATCTTTGAAACTCATAAGAATTTTTGTCAGTCAGGGTCAGGACTCATAAGAAAATATACCTGCGTGCAAAGTTGTGACGACCGATTTAAATATGCCCACACGAGTCCGCTAACGACTTGGAGTCGACTGATTCGATAACTCCCATCTTCAGTGCATTTACATGTTTCCTGCTGAATGACAGCGTTGAGGCAGAGCAGTTTGTTTGCGTTTCGATACGAGCCCACGGTCGCTAAGAGCACACCACGCCAAAATATAAACACACGCAATTCTGTATTCACATCATCCAAGTATAAATATTTTCAGGGTCTCCTTTTACTCTTCTGCGGCACTTTAATTCATATAGCATCCGTTGAAGATTCTGGTGACGTTTTTTCGATTTATCCTCCAGAGCAAAGAAGTAACCAGGGTTCGATGAGGGGGCTTAAAGGGCTGGGAAAATACGAGGGTCGTCCAGAAAGTAAGTTTACCTGTTCAATATCTCTTAAACTAAGATAGGTGAAGAAAATCTGTAAAAAGCGTTGAAAAGCCACTACTCTCAGCTCTCTAACGCGCTAGAGATGTTTAAATTTGGTTGGATAAAACTCTAGAATAAAGGGTTTTTCTGAATCCACCTCCTCTCCGCGCGGGTCCAAAATTTCACGGAGCTTCATTCGCAAGTGAGAGCGTCTATCGCTTACGCCAAAAAAAGTGACTTAGAGGTGGTTAAAATAAACATAAAAACATAAAACATAAATGTAAAACATAAGAAAGACTTTTGAGTGGGAAATAGCAGAATTAGCCGTGTTCACTTCAAAATCAGTTGCATCCTATCAAAAGTTTACCATCAAAAAAAAAAAAAAAAAAAAAAAAAAAAATCATTTATGCAAAAGCTTTTTTGCGTAAAATTGTCATATTTTTTAAATGGGCGTAGGCGTTATTTCACGCAAGTTGAAATTTAAAATTTACCCAAAGCTTCACTCAAATTGACCAAAATCACCAGCGAAATTTTTAAAATATCCGTTGCAAAGCGAGGCATACTGACCTCCGCTGCCATCCTCCTCTTTCCTCAAGTAACATTTTTCAACAGAAAAATCGCGATAATCTGAAATTAAGTTGCAACTTTTGACGAATTTTTGGCGATTAAATTTCGAGGATTATCAGTATCTGAGCGATTATCCTCGATCTTGTCACAATTTATCTCTATAAAATCGCGTTCGATAAAATCGAAATTTTATCTCAATTTATCACGATTTTTTGTTCGATAATATTGCGATAAATCGCCGTCGATGGAATCGCGATTTTATTGAAAATTTATTCGATGAAATCGAAATTTTTTATCGAATAAAAGTGCAAAAAATCGGCGTCGATAAAATCGCGGTACATTCTCCGATCAGAACGCGACTATCGCGATCATTGGTACTTGAGTCCCATGGGGCTCCTGATTTTATGATAGATTCCCGCATTTTCCGTGAAACAGTAGCTCACCACGTGACAAAAAAAAGAAGAAGAAAAAAACAAACAAATTGAAACAATAAAAAAAAAACATCAACATTGGTGGAACTGGAAGTCTTCAAAGAAATATGATCCTTGAAGTTAAAGATACCGATTCAGATATTGCCTGCCAATTTTCTTTCTTCGCCGGCGACTTGCTCGTTTAAGCGCTGCGTTACGCGGAACAATCGTTCAACTCGCAAGGAAGCGCGTTATGCAACGTAATGCTAGATAATCATGTTTTGATTATTCTATTTTTTCCACTGAACTCATAATATCTTATTTGCATTGGTTTTTTTAATGGTCCCAGTTCGGTATGAAAAACCTGACGCGAGTCAAAATCAGAACGCCTCACAGTGGACCGAGTCGCTGGGAGAGGTCGGACAAAATTTGGAAACTTTAAAAGCTTGTAATTCCGTTTATACAAAACTTTGAGGTTTTAAAATTGATTCCATAGGTTTCTTCGTGGGATTTTCTTCAAAGAGCACCCCTTAACATTTATCATGTGACGGAATGGACGTCAATATTTGCAGTTTTAGTAAAAAATTTCATGACCGACTTCTCTGATTGAATCGATTCACTGTGCGCCTCAAACGCTGTGTATTACTGCCGTGCTACAGAAAAAACGCCGAATGAGCATTCAGGTGTTGCCAAATTTCCTCTCGGCAAATATTTATTTTTGAGGAAAGTTATGCGTTTTTTCCATTGAAATTTTCAGATGTGTTAAATTTAAGTGCGAACAACATTCTCTGAAGAATCGAAGGAAAAATATTTGCGAATTTTCCCAAAAAATCGTTTTTTGTTAAAGAAGATTTGGCAACGGCTGGCGGTTCATACAGCGTTTTTCCTTAGCACGGCAGATTAGAGCGTATCTACGCTACGGTTCCCCGTCAAATCAGAGTCAAAAGAAGTTGGGTCTTTTTTTAAGTTCGATTAAAGACTTAAACTGTCACCCTGGTGAATTATAATCGTTGGGGTCATTAATGCCATGATGACGTGAGTAGGAATTTGAACGCCAGATACTAGAAACTTTCTAAAAATACCGAGACACTTCGGAGGTATTTGCCCATATCGCAAAGGCATGTAAATGATGGTTACATTCAGGAACCACGTATCTCTGCAGTTTGCGACTTATAAAACTTCCCATTGTCTCTAATTTTCGATGGGGAAAAAAGGCTGATTATTCATTTTCAAAGTCAACGAGGAAGTTCCTCGAAAATTGTCAAACCTTTCATCAAGGCCGGATTAACACCCAAGGGCTCATGGTACTTGCGGGTAAAAGGGCCCGCATATAGCGGGTTGTATACTTCGTACATTGAAGGCGGTCCACCTTTCCGAGAAAACGAAGTGTCGGAGATGCCCATTGAGAGCCTAAATCCCAAGCTTTAAGGGCCCCATAAGCTTCAGAACCTCTCCAATTTTCCTAATTTGTCGAGACTTTAAGAGCCTCCGAAACATTTGATCGGACCATTCACAGAGAGAAAAAAAAATTGAAAATAATAGTAGGAGGAACCCGTTCTAAGGGCCCGGGGTGCTAGAGTGCCCCAGCATCCAAGCTAATCTGGCCCTACCTTTCATCTTAGTTTGAGAAGTAATTCGTAAAAATTGCAGGTAAAGAAAATTGCCTCGTTCTCCTCCCGAGTGAGATTCTGGAGAACAAATTTAAAATTTAAAAATTTTAACAAGTCATGACTATTGCTCATAGGGACCGTCCCCACATTACGTAACGCACTTTTTCGGCATTTTTGCCCTCCCCCCCTAGTAACGCTGTTGTGACGTAGGTCTCTATATTTCAACACGTAAAAAAATGGCGTAACGCTCTTCTCGCCACTCCCCTCCTCCCCCTAGAGCGTTAAGGAATTTAGGGTCGGCCCCTCGCGGACCATTGCCGAAAACTTGTTGTCAAAGGCAAAAAACCCTCGTTTTCGAAATTTTGGCGCTTACTTCGAGACCGGTTCATGATGGTCTGAAGAATCGAACCAGTTATCAATGTTCACCGCGCACATCGGCAACCCTGCCAAGGTCGATTTCCCCGCCAAAGCCGGCAACGCCGCGGAGCGCGCCCTGGTGACGTCATCGCGGGGGGCCTGAAACATGAATGAGACCGGCCGGTCGGTCGAGTCGCGGGGAGGGGGAGGGTCGTCCAAGGGTGGGGCGGAGGGCTTCCCCTCCAGGTCCCCCCGGTCACTCGTCGACCCCCCCCGGGCCCTCCGGCCCATCGGCGCTTTGCCCCGGGTCGAGACTCGAGAACTGAAGCGCGGATATCATGGGGTTCGAACCACCGTGCAAGGCAACGAACGACGCGCCGCGATAACCGAATGTTATTGTCTCGCGGACTGCGCCAGAAAGCTTAGCGCTCGGAGTGAATCGATTGCTTTAGTGCATTTTGAGTGGTGTGCCAAAGTGTTGTGAAAGATCGGAAACATGGCTCTGCTGTCGCAGATCTACTCGCTGGATAACCCCGTCTTCACGGCGTATATTTTCTACACAAGTATACTCCTCCTCAAAATGTTGTTTATGGTTTTCGTCATTGGGAGCCAAAGATTCAAGAAAGGGGTGAGTCTCTGATGATCCTTCGACTACCCATTACCCATTCTTTCGGGTCCATGAAAAAATTAGCGGGTCAATTTTAAATTGAATTTCATTGATCCAATTTTGAAGATAATCATTTTTTATGTGGGTATCCGGCAGTAAGGCAGTTATTTTGAAGGGAAAAAAATAACGGAGAAAACCTGCAAAAAAAGCATGCCTTTTGTACCCAATGGTCCTTCGACTACCCTACCAATTCTTCCGGGCCCATTAAAAAATTTACAGGACGATTTTAAATTGAATTTCATCGATTCAATTTTGAAAATAATTATTATTTTTTTATGGGTACCTAGCAGTGCAGCACTGTTATTTTAAGAGGAAAAAAAAATTGGAAAAACTTGCAAAAAAAGACATGCTTTTTCTGAGGAATGGAGAATGGAGATGCAGTGAGCATCTTAAAACCTTATGTTCTTGGACAATAAATTAAGATGGTTGCCTGTTATTTACAGATCATTCTGATCGCATAAAACTATGTTTTTTTCGAGCTATGGCACCTTGTGCCCCCCAAAAATTGTCAACGGTAATACCGAAGGAAACATTCTTACAAAATCATGACCTAGCTGTTGCCTCTCATTCAATGGTTTTCAAGCTATCATTTTCAAAAAATTATTTCATGAGAGGGTAAAATTCTGTACACTTAATGGTCCCATATGAGAAGGCAATTAGTGGTCCTAAAGAGCTTCAGAACTACACTAGTTAGTAAAAGCAAAAAAATTCAATTACGTATTGCTAGGTATTGTTCTGCAGTCACAGAAATATAGGACATAGAGTTACAAGCCACACGCTAGAAATGCCGAATCATTCTTGTGCAAACCTGTCATTACTAAGAAAATAAGTCATAAAATGAATTGATTTCCAGTATCTCTAAAGAGCTTTCTTCATGACATTGTTTTGCAGATTTTCATCAGTGAAGAGGACAAGGCACTACATCCAAAGGCTAAAATCAGACATGATGACCCAGATATTGAGAGGTGTAGAAGGTAAGTTTGAGCACGACTTCATGTGTTATATGCTTAATTTTATTGAGCATGAAACACTCTCCATGAGCAATTTTTATCAGTTGGCATTACTAATTATGGACCTCTCAAAGTGATCATGACGGCTCAAATCAAATTGAATAGAGAGGTCATTTAAAACCATTTCTGAGGTTACTTTCCAGTGGTTCAATGGTCCCACACCCAACATTGCTTCAAAGTTCAATGCAACCAGCATTGTGCAGAGCGAAAGAGAAATATGGTGTCATAGCCGCACTTTTGAAGCATTGCAACATTTGAGTTAACCTATCAGATCTTTATCAAAAATGTCCTAATGAATTTAATTTATAACAAACATCTGTTAACAAACGAAGAAAACAGATAAGTTGAACTGTACAATGATGAAGTGGACAGCAAGACATGGTAAGAGTCGATCTACATCTAGAAACGTTTCCTTAATAAATTTTCAAATAGAAAACTTTGAAAATCTCAAAAATTTCCAAGATCATCGCATAAACGTGCAGTAGCACGTCTGTGTAGCAATTATTCCACTCAGAACCTTTAAATTTATCAAGGAGAATTCAGCATACTAACTGGACCGCATTTAGCAAAAAGGAACCTGTGTGATTACAATGTTGTAAAAATGTTACTTCTTCATAATTATCTAAGAAATCTCTCAGAGTGGCAAATAGTTTTTGCTTCCCACCAAAAGATTGTGAAGTTTAAAGGAAAATAATGGTGTGAATTTTAATATTGTACATAAATTTAGTATTTTTAAAGAATAGAGGAAGTCACACGATTTTGAAAAACACTGTAATTGCACTGGCTCCTTTTTGATAAATGCGATCCAACTAATTCCCCTCTTGTAAAGCCTATAACAGTTACTTTAGAGCCTGATCTGATTTCAGTTTTTTAGTGGTAGGGATGTTTGAACTGATTAAAATTACTAGTTACACATGTATCAATTGGATTTGGAAATTTGCAATGTGTCCATTCAATTCTAAAAAAAATTTCGATGACACATACGTTGTCTTACTTCGTTCAATGGTTCATTTGATAAAGCTCCTCTAACTCTGACCTTTTTGATTTCAGCGGTCATTAGAATTCTTCATAATCCGTATTTTTTTTTTTTCAAACTTTCTTTTCTATTTTGACAGGGCTCACCAGAACGATTTGGAAAATATTCCTGCATTCATCCTAGCTGGAGCCTTGTATCAATTGACAAGTCCGAGTGCCTGGCTTGCGATTCAGCTTTTCCGATTTGGAACAATTGCGCGCATAGTTCACACATTTGTATATGCAATTGTAGTCATACCTCAACCCGCACGAGCGATTTCATTTTTTGTCTCATATGCTATCACCGTGTACATGCTTGTACAGACTATCCTATATGTCTTGTAGACAGCTCAATGACTTAAAAATTAAGTGAATATGTACAAGATGCCAAATTAGGCAAATTTTTGAAACAAGAGAAACAATTGTCATGATGAACAATTGGTGACATGAGAAATTGGTATCTTTTAGGAGAGGATTTGCTACAGTGACCTTACACAGATGTTGATCAACTGATGTGGTGTTGATAAAACTAGAGAATTTATCTTTACACTTGAATGAATTCAGAGCATTTATTTTTGTTGATACTTTTTCAGAGATGGGAACATTCCACAGACAACAGTTCTGGAACGCCAATATTAAAGTGAATGAATAAAAAAAGAAGAAAAAGAAAGTAGAAACCTGTTGATGAAGTTTGAATTTTTTTCCCTGAGCAGAAAAGAAGAGAAATTTTTATGAATCTAATTTGAATTAAGATGAAATAAGTCATCAAATGTAAGGAATAACTTATTGAGCTATTGATTCGCCAACAACTTACTTATTCTGGTCCCTCTTTGGTATAAAATTATGTGCCATCAAAACTGATCAAATTTGAGGCACTTTGCTTAAAGACCTTGAACAACAACTTACATTTTCTTGTAGATTTTCAAAGAAACGTAAAATTGAAAATAAAATGTGCCTTCGTACATTCTTTTTACACAATAAAACAGAACAGAGCCTTGAAGAACAATGGGTCAGTTGCATTTATCACAGAATCCCATTTTGAAACTCGATTCTTGTAGATTAGCTAAAAATAGTAAGATCTGTCCCAACCGCAGCAGTGACACCCTTGGTATCTTTCTCTTTTGTTTGATCAGAGATGCAGAGGGTGCAATGCAAAACTACAATGACATTGAATGTAAACAAACTCAAGAAACAGACGGATTTGTACTTTAAAGATTTTCTTATCAGGAGATAACGCACTCGTCGCGAAGAGATTAGGCGGTCAGTCAGTTCACCTCAGTTTGTTTACGTTTAACATAGTAGAAGTTTCGCGTTGCACCCTCTGCATCACTGATCGGACAAAAGAGGAAGAAACCACGAATGTCACTGCCGTGGTGGATGATGTCAAACGTAGAAAGTTGCCGTTTGGACAGATCTTATTATTTTTTTCTAATCTACAAGAATCAAGTATCAAAACACGATTCTGTGACCAGCGCAACTGACTCATTGATGATTCTTACCTGAAAAAATCGAACGACTCCGACATCAGTTCGGTGCCAGAAGTAGATAAAGTGTCCATAACCAGTCAGAAATAAGTAAGCAGAGACTAATACTCGAATGTGATTGTAAATTGGAAGAACTTTACTTGCTCCTGTAAAGTGGTATATTAAAATGACAAACTGCATCCAACCTAAAAATTAAACCACAATATTAATACCACTACTTTCAATAAAACACACTGAAAAATTTATTAAGCGAAATTTGGAAAAAAGCTCTATTTTAGATAGCATAAGCTGATATATGCAAGACTAGAATTTACACAAAAAAGTGTCAAAATTTAATGGCTGTTTTGAAAAATATTCGGAAATTTGTGACCGATTTGCAATTTCACAAGTGTTTTTCAAGAAACAGGGGTGGGCCTAGTCACCACAGAAGTTACATTACTGTTACGTAAAATTTTGGATGATTCATACCTCGGAAACAGATTTTGAGTACATATTTTTTTGTATTTTTCTTTTTATTACTGACAACTAAACTAGTTCTAATTAGTCAAAAAATGGACTGTTAAGTTTTCAAGCAACTCCCAAAAGATTTTCTCTTCTGGTGTATCAAGATTTTTTAGTCTTCAATGAGCTTCAGTTTTCACAGGGGCAAAACAGAGTCGAAGATTTAGATATTTCTGGAAAAGACATGGTGATTAATTAGTTTTTTCACATTATTCGTAGATTGTTCAACTATTATTAGAATGTAACTTTATAACTAAAAAAAAAAAAAAAAAAAAAAACAACTTATGAATACCTTTTACAAATGAGCAATTGATCTTGGTTATCTTTAATATACTTATCTCTTGTATTTCAACAAACCAGAACTGAAAGCTGAGTTGTCTTACTTTGCATAGTTATAGTTACAAAGATTGGTGTAGACTGGTCCTATGTCAGGATAAAATAAAGTTATTTTTACAGTTAAATCTTCTTTTTACTTCTGATGCTCGTCAACTCGCTCATAGCAATTACTTTGACCAAAATTAGTGATTATAAATGCAATTCTGTCATACAGCTGGGAATGTTTTTACATCAATGTTGTGATAAAGTGAAATTTTAGAGCTAAAATTTTACAAGCAAATCTTACTAGAGTTATTCATTAATCAACAAAGAATACACTCTTACAGCTGAGCAGGATATTACAAAAGAATAAATAAATAAATAAAAGGTAACCAAGAATATTGAATGTTCTGCAGATTTTCAACTTCATATTATTTGAACCTTCAAGGTAACTGACTACAATTCCCGAAATCATTTTTTCAGTTGATTAACATTCTATGGGTATAAAAATAGTAAGTCGGACCTCCAAAATTTTCAGGAGACTTAAAAAAGTTGCAAAATGCTACCATACAAATGATTTTGGTTATTTTTCTAAAGAACACTACCTATTACAGGCATAGGGCTGAAAAAATATTTCGAGCAAAATCAGAATTAAATATCATGAATCTAATTTATGATCCGATCCTTCTTTAATATCTGCCCCAAACAGAAACGTTTACACCAACCATAAAATATCAGCTGTGAAAGTAACTTCTTGCTCAAGTTTTTTAACCCACACAAATCACATTATGTTGAAAATCATACCTTTCCATTCATCTGTTTGGTCCTTGTGGAGCACTTTCGTGTAACGACTGTCCTCCGTAAAAAAGAGACCCAGGGCAAGGACATAGGCAATTGGTAGCCAAAAACTAACAGGAGAATAATATTTGTTTTCTTTCATAAAAAAGTTAGTTCTGAAAAAAGGCAAAAGCAAAATGGATTATTAGAGCTTCAAATTGGAGAAGAAATGCAATTCACGGCTGAGCTGTGGAGTTTAAAAAGCCGTCTGGAGGTTTGAATAGTTACAGTTATACTGCAAAAGGTTTAAAAATAACAAAAAATTGTTTTTCTGGAATGCAATAGTTCCATTTTAATCCACACCAAAAAAAGTGATGGCTGAGGGGAAGAGTTAGAAACTGGCTTGGAGTAGTGTTTAAGGTGATTCGATGGACGCCATACTTCAAGTCAGAGCGGCATGCGATACATTGCATCAATTGGTTCCATTTTTTCAGCTACTCGTCATTTTTCTCCAATTTTGAGATCGAAATTCTGTTGTCAGGAGACTACAGCACTCACTTACCAATTTTAACAAAGAAATTCAACGTAATTAAGGCGTGGTTTTTTTAGAGAGAAAATATCGCATTCGAGTGCAGTTACGATATCAGTATCGAATGCGATGTTTTCTCTCTGAAAAAACCACTCCTTTATTACGTTGAATTTCTTTGTTAAAATTGGTAAGTGAGTGCTTTAGTCTCCTGACAACAGAATTGCAATTTCAAAATTAGAGAAAAATGACGAGTAGCTGAAATAATGGAACCAATTGATGCAATACGCATGCCGTTCTGACACAAAATATGGCGTCCATCGAATCACCTTAAGGGTTAAATCTCAGGTACATTGGCTCATTCATACAACCCACGGTTGCTGAAGCCAATCAGACCTTAAAAAATAAACCACGCTGCTCACCTTACTTGGTCCCTTAGCATGCGCCGCATGGACTAAAACTAAATTCTCCTTTGATTTGAGTAACGCTGCTTACTTAATGAATTATGGTTAGAAAAAGTAAAAAAAAAAAAATATTGAGTATTCCAGTAAGTTGAAGCTTCATTGAGGAAAAAAACATAAGTGAGGTATTGTGGTCAGTATCCTGCCCTTTCTTTTACATTGGAGATTTCCATTAAAGTCCTGTTCCAACTTACCGATCACAAAGATAAAAGTAGGCCATTATCAGACCTAACTTGGCTAAAGACGTAGTGATGACATAAATTCCAGATGAGTTGTAGTCATATTTGGTGTGTCTAATTGCCAAAGTACATCCAATCAGAAAGCTGCAAATGAAAATTTGGACACAATCAATTTATCTGAAGATAAGATAGAAATGAGACAAAATTTCAGGTTTATGTTTAAATTCAAGGAGTCGTAAAGAATTATCTGATACATAAGTATTAAGTCCATGGCTCAAGGATTCTAAGCATCTTTACTTGTGCACGATTTTTGTCAGAATCTGGAAAATGGACTAAAAATATTGCTGTTTGAAACTGCGGCAGCAGCTCACTAAGTAGCACAATACACAAATTTTTTAATAGAACACAGGTGAAATTCTGAAAAATTTGATAATATGTTTTTTACCACCTCCTGGGCAAAATGAGCTTTTAAAATGGGACTGTTGATCTGTCAATGTTGAGAAAAGCAGGGCTGAAAGTAAATTTGTTGACATTCTGACACACATTTCCTCATGGAAAAGTGGACTTGCCATTATGTGTTAAAGGCAATGCAGCATGCTTTTATCATTCAGAGGAGCATGATAAATTTTTGTATGTCTTGTCTTTTTGAACAGCAAAGAAAGAATATTTCTCCTTAGACACCAGATTATACACACTGCTCGTCTTAAAATAAGCAAGTAAAAAATTGTGTACGCAAAGAGCATCATCCTCGGGAGATAATAAATATCATCTTTTCAAATAATAGCACTATTAGGCCAGCACTGAATCCCTTGGTTTTCCACACAAAGTCCGTTTTAAAACATAGATTCAAGTGGATGCGTATGTATTTTCTGATGAGGGAGCATGTTTTCTGATTCTTGCCCTGTCTATCAGTCCATTGAAATACTATGTATGTAGGAACTAAATTCCACTTAATCAACTCAATAACTCAGATTTACGCTACTTTCAAAATGTAAATTCAAAACATTTTACCTTCCATCAAATATTACAAAGATTTTACATACTGTTACTTACCATGAGAAGATATATTATCTTTGCTTCATTAACATTTAATTATAGAATTCTCTCTGAGTCTTTGTTTTAATTTTAGAACATGGACTATTCTCTTTGGGGCAACTAGATTCCCGTTGAAAATGAAGGAAAGGACTTTGTATTCTTAGTGACAACGGATGGCAACCGACAGCGAAGCATGAATGATCGATTATCAATATTTTCCCATTTGAGGATATGGTAAAGAATCGATTATTAAGGCGTTTGTTGCAAACATCTTGTTTATCAATCCTTCTCTATGGGTTTAAAAGGCAGATTAATCGCTTTATCGCAAAGCTTGCCTTGCCACTGATGGCAACTCGGGATTTTATGAATTTCCATCTTACACGAAGCTTGACCAAAACTCTTAGGGTAAGTAGCCTCTTGTCCTCCTCATTAGAATAAGGAGCCGGAAATACTAACCAGACAAAAAGGGCTGAAAAGGTCATGACTTGCAGAGTGGTATATGGCTCTGAGCTACTGCAGCATGTTCCATCGTCGAAATTCATGTGGTCATCGCAATATGCATTCAGTAGTAACTGCACATCTGTTGACAAAGTTTTTGGACCCAAATGGATGCCATCACTTATTTCATCCATATGAACTTGAGCGATTAATCGAGAACTGGACCATACTTCCACTGCACTGTGCTGCAACACCTAAGACATTGGGAGGTTCGATTAAAACGGAGGGGAACTTTTCGCAAAAGCCATTTTTTTTGCCAAGCACTCATTTCCTTCGCTTGGTCCACACAGCTTGACCCGAAGGGTCTCAGCAAATTGCGCACAATTGATTCAATGAACTAATTTCATAGTTCATCAAAACTTGAGACGCTTCTTTAACTATAACAACTTTGTTCTGTTTGTCTTTGACAAACTGAACAAAGTTGAACTGTTTGTCTATTGTTTGTATTTGAACTTCTTTAAGTTCGATGAAAGTTCTCCCATAAAATAGTACCTTTAAGAAACAACAATTTACAAACCAAAGATGAACAAATATTGAAGATCATCTGGAGCTTAAAACCTTCTTCCTGTCATGTATGCTACTGTGCTAAGGAAGAACGCCATAAGAGCCTTCAGATGTCGCCAAAGTATCTCCGGTACAGAACGAATTTGCTGGGAAAATTGAGAACAGTTTACTTCAAATATTTCGGACAATTTTCTTCATAAGTTAATCTAAAATATCTGTAAATTTCAAGGGAAAATCTGCATACCTAACTTTCCTCAAAAATAGATATTTTATTGAGGTAGTTTTTGCATCTTCTGAAGACTCATACAACGTTTTTCTTTAGCTCGGCAGTATAGATGAGTCAAAAATCTTGAAATGATACTTTCAATGAAAATGTAATGATATTCTTTTGCTTTTGAATAAACTTTTAAGACATTTATAAATGATAACTTAAAATATCAGAAGAAATTTAGACTGTTAATCGAGAGGGAATAGAATAGGAATACTCCAAACCTCCATGGCAGCAGCATTGTAACGATCGATCATCATATTGGTTATGGCCATTCGAGCCGGAGAAAGTTTTTCCTCATTGACTGGCTCTTGGAGTAACCATATTGCGCGTGTTTTCTGATTGGTCAATCCATCAAATAACTATGGACAGAAATAATGATGACTGTTATTAACGAGACCACTTTCCAAGGTTAAAACTAGAGACTAAGGAGGGACTTAAGAATTAAAAATGATCAAGTTTGAAACATCCTTTAAGGTAGGGCTGCTCTATCGGTTGTCCGTAAGCTACCGAAACAGTTCCGTCAAGAAAAAAATACAATGAGAGCGCTCTTACCGATAGTGATCTGAGCTTTCTGAGCTGACAAAAATAAGCTGTTGCCTATGTACATCTATTTTACGCGCCGCCGCGCCAGGCAATCTGGCAAACGGGGCAACAATGCATTGAGTGCAAGCTCTTACAACTCCGATAAGGCGGGCTGTTGACTATATAATTGCCACTGTTGGTACTGCCACCTGTTTCGGTAAGAGACGATACCGATAGACTTCCGGCAAGAATTAGTTTGAACACCCCTACTTTAAGGCACAGCTTTATAAGAGTGATTTGAGCAAAATGATTATCTAATAATAAAATCAATGAATGACTTTTTTTACATATGTTATTACTCCAAACAAGGATCTGTGCGCGAGGAAACTCACAATTAAATCAGAATTGGCGCTTTCCACTAGGAGAGACCTTGTAAGTATCTGGAGTAAAACTCTCCAAAATTAAATTGTGTAGTTTGAAAACACATCATTCTTCCACTGTTTTAAAAAAATATTTTACCGACTATTCCTAACAATCCTAACTTCTCTTCTTACTTCTTTTGTCGTTTACCTTCTCCCTACCCCTAATAAAGTTATTCTGAACTCCAAATGTGTACTTCTTTCCTCTTGAAATGAGCAACTACAAATGATTAGCATCAAACCGGATTTGAGGTCAAAAAGGCTGTTCTTGAAACGAATGAATGAGATGGCAAGTTTTTAAACTCCAAAATGCTACTCAAAAGTGAGCCAACAAAAGTCATGAATTGGACAGTGGCTTCAATGGAGACATGGGTAAAAAAATAAATCTTAGTGGACTAAAATTTAAGTTTCCATGATGGAAATCCCGAACACACAATAAGCTATAAACTTACATGTACAAGGCGAGATATATTGGCTGCATATTCATTGACTACTTCCACAGATCCGTTCGACTGTTTTATGGCCCAACTTCCAGAGTTCATGATAATAACGCTCGGACCTTGATTCTGTTGTGGATTAGACAAAAGAAAATTTCTAATTAAAATAAGAAAATTAATAAAATAGTTTTCGTTGATCGTTTCCCATTTTGAGAGTTTCAGTTTGGTACTTGCATTTCCTCACATTAATTTTATCTACAAAGAAGGTAACATCTGATATTTTTAAGCAAGGCTTATAGAAATTTAAAGTGATGGGACTTTGAATTAAAAAAAGCAATGTGTGAAAAATGAAATCATTGATTATTGGAAAATTTCTTGACATATTTTAATTACTGATCTTGAGAGAGTCTCCCCAACCAAATAATAACATTCTTGGTGAATATTTTGTTTCAGTTCCAGAAAAAATCACGACATTGCATGTTTTGGTTTTTGGTCATTATTAAGTGCTTAAATAGTACAAGTAAGAAGTGTAACTATGTTGAATGGCTCCAGATGCATGAAAATATCATAATTTTTAGTGGCATATCTTTAGAGTAAAAAATGGAAAACTGAGCTGTGAACTGAGCTTGACTCTACTTTATTCAAATGACAATTTTTAGAATTTCGGTAAACATGGCTCTTGATCGTTGGGTACCAATTAAAAGAAGAGACTACCAGCTCATGACTCGAAAATTTTAATAGGAATTACTCTAAATTTGACTCCATCCCAGAGGCTCATATTGAACTGTATGAACTCTAATTTGCGTAATTACAAGAAAACAGCAATACCGGTGTGCCCACACAAGGAAAAATTAATTATTCCATATTGTAGAAGATGTACACCCTTGGTGCTATACACTTTCATGCTGGGAAACAAAGACATTAATAAACACAGAATATTATGAGATAGTATTAAAAAAAATGATAGGCACTTTAAAACTTTGCATGAAAGACAACACTTACAATGTAAGTTTTGAAAACAACTTCTCGACTAAATAACATTGGTGATTTTGAGCTAATTAGAGGAAAAACTTAAGTACAGAAGTTAGTCAACCTTCTGAAATTTACAAATCAGGACTTCAGAAAAAGCAATCCTGCTTTTGGGTGCCAGGACTGCGGAGGGCACTCCAGCAATAGGTTTGAGAATATGTTGGTTTTTTTCTAAAACGGTAACCTCTAACAAAAATATAACATCGATACTCACCTGCCATCTCATCAAATGTTGAGTCATTCGTTTCGAGACAAAGGGACTCCAAATAAATTCTACAACAAGCTTCAAACTAGCATCAGCAAAATTGAGATCAGAATGGATTGGTTTCTCACTGATGTCAGAGGTCCCTGGAATGGAAGGCTGAAACTGCTTGACGAACTCCTGATAAAGGCCACGAAGTCTGGAATCTCCCATGAAGACAAAGTGATTCATTCGACCCCAAAAGGCCAAGTACTTGAAACACCGGTTGGTATCTCTGTGAAAAGAAGAATTACAACTGGAGTTTAGCACTGCAGTTTATAAAATAATTTCTTTTGGACTCTTATTAATCAATAAAAAGTTTTAAACTTTGAGCAGAAACATTGGAATGTCTTTTCTTCACTTTAAACACATTTTTGTAAGTAATGTTCATCTTAATGATAACACAGTTCTGCTGAGTACACTGTCACAATCCTAACTGATTTAATCTTCAAAAATATTTAAAGGCAAGAACTTTACAAAGTTGCGTTTAATAACAGAAAAAAAAATTCACAGCTTTTAAGGGCTCTTTTATTTATGCCTGACTTAGTAAAATCTTGATTTTTACTGCCAGCAGTTGCATGTAAATAATAGGTCGTTGTCAATTGATACATTTTAATAAGAGCCCTGTCAAATTAATCATTTTTGTTGAGAAGCAAGTATGAGCGAAAGGAGAATTTGCTTGAAATTTGACAGGATTTTAATCAGCATTTATGGTAGTTTCATAAAAAAATCTATAAAATCGCAAAATTCTTGTAGACTTTTAATTAAATTTTGGAAAGTTTGATAAAAATTTGAACACTTCGAAAAGTTGTGAGGTATTGATAATATTATGTAGACTCAGTTTCAAGGAATTTAAATCATATTTGCAATTAAGTCAAACTGAGAATTGACATAGGCTGCGCAGAACTGCAGTTGTAGGAACTTTAGTGCAGTCCAGCAAATATGCCTGCCATTGTCAGAGATCTGTTTTCCTTTTAAGAGCAAAAGGCAAGTTATCCCTTACTGTATTATAAACTTGTTTTTAAAAACAATGAAAATCATGCTTACAATTTGGTGTACTGGTGTAACATACATCCATACGGCTGCCAACCCATGTCACCTCGGACTCTCCCATCAGAAAAGAGCCATGTACAGGAATCCATTCCTAAAAAATGAAATAAGCAAATTTAGGAAGTAAAATTTTTGCATTGCTGCTGAATGCAAAGAGCTAGTTGTACGTTAGAGAAGTTTCTATATACCTGGATCCAGGATAAGGGCACTGACATTCACACAAATTGTGTCTTAATGCTGATTAAACCTCTGAAATTTCTTTAAATTTCATTAGAGTTTTGACTTTTCCACGAGTTATTACGAGAAGCCATTAGGCTCTTTTTTTGGAATTAATGCTGTTTCATTACTTAAGTATACAAGATTCCATTCCATGTTTGGAATTGTCAGATGTATGCAAATTCTGCTGGACATACATTGGAATGCCAAAAAGTAAGGAAAAAAACGATGATAAACATCAAGCAGTTGAGCTTGATGTTAATTGTCCTTTTTTTCCTACTGCTGAACATTTCATTACTTCCTCTTGCTATTATCAGAGATGCAATTATAAAGAACTGTCATTTGCTGAAATGCAAAATCATGCAATAGCAGATAACTGTAATGTAGGTACTGTTATCATGTTAAAAATGTGAATTTCAGTTCTGAGGAGTGTTGTTTGTGTGGGAAAGAGTTCACACTGAAACAAATGACACGCTACCAGAGGACCTGCCATCTAGATTTCTGAGTTGAATGTGCATTAAAACCATAAAATATGGGACCCTCAGTCATATTGAGAGGTTTGACAACTTATCCGATGGAAACGCCACGGAGCATTGATTTCAGGTGAGTTGTCAAAGTAAACTTGTCCAATTCCGGTTTGTTTTTCTGTTCGCAAACGCAACCCAAACAGTCCCATCAACCTTCTGAGATTGTTGAGCGTTTGGTAGAAAAGTTGAGCTATCACATGTAAACAAACAAGTCATTAGGTCATCCTAACGAAGTCCAACAACGCTACCCGTTTAGAATCTTGTGATTCTGTTTCCAAACAGTTTACTTCGACAACGCATCTTGTAAAATAGGACTCGCATAACTATTCGGAGTGATTTGAGTGCAGTACAGGGCTTTCACATTATTTCGAAAAATACTGGAATATGGGGCAACTGGTTCTGGGAAGGTCCCACCTTCGATAAGTTTATCACTGAGGGCTTTTTTATATTCGTAGAACGCATGGAACGCGATAGATCAGGATCTTTGGGGTTTGGGCCGGTTGAATCGGCCTAACCACAGCCTCAACCTACCTCGGCAGAGCGGTCCAAGTGTTCCACTAGGACGCGCCGGTAGAACAGGATAAAAAAGCGATACGTTCCATGGCGATCCTCTGCGGTTCCGATAAAAAAAAAGCCCTTTGGATGTCCTGGCGCTAATTTAATCAGAATGAAATTTTGAGGTTATGTCATTACAAACCGTATATCGTGTGGAGGAGTCCATGGTACAAAATGAATGATGACACGAGCAGAACGGCGAATATTTTGATATTCGGTCCATTGATGTGCTTCACGATTTCGTTCACTGGTTTACCATGCTTCTTACTCTCGGGCAACAGGCATTCGACATCCGCATTATCCACCACCATAATTTCGACATAAAACTGCACATGAGTCCGCTTCACTCACTGAGATCACTTTTCCATTGCCCTGAACAATTCAAATCGCTGCTCTTATCCGACATTAATGCGAATTACATGAATGAATAATGAATAAATTTCAAAAAAATTGAGGGAATGCTGAGGGCGAGCGAGACGTGAGAAAAAAACACACCAAAACAAAACACAAGAACGATCGCACGATCTCTCGAAGATCGAATATCGATATCGATAGTCGACTGATCGACTCAAAACTTGGTTGTTGACTGTATTGCCTATGTGAAATAATGAAGGCGCACAGCCGCGCGCGGGTAACAAATTAAAAACAAATATCTTTATTATGTTGATTTTGAGTTAATGAGCTATCTAAATCAGTGTTGGACTGGTTCGCATCTGAGTTCGTAGACACTTGGCTGGTTAAAAGGGCGTAATGTGATATTTCCTGGTAGGACATCCCCTGCGTGGAAAGGGGTTCAGAAACTCTTGGCAAATCAGAACAAATTTAAGCTATTTTCAGGTTCAAAGTTTATTAATCGTACCGAGTAGAAATTGCAAAACTCCACGTATTGAAGTAACCGACAGACTTCTGAAATTAAAAAGAACATAAAATAAAAAATTAAAGCCACTAGACACATCCAAAAACCATTATTTCCAAAAGAACCGAGGCAGTGCTGCGGCCTACACGAGCTTAAGACGTGGGTCTGCAAATTCATCCTAAAAAAGAATCAGACAAGAACCTGAAAAAAGAAAAAAAAGAACGAGTATCAACACAGTCGAATATAGGAAAAACGTCAGCATTTAGCACAACATTGAGAGCTCACGCTTCGCGTCATCGCGCCTTCAATTTTTCAGATGCAGTACGGACGTCCATCAAGTACGAATAGTTGTATCTCTGCGCCGTCGTAAACGCGCATCCTTTCCCTCGCTTTATTTCCATATTGTGTTTGTTTGCGTTTGTCTCGTGCGTAATAGTGCTTCGAACTAATAGCATATAGCAGAGCATTGCGAGTTCACGACTCACGCAATCGCGTGTTACATTTCTCATAATGCAATGTATAGACATCCACCTTGCGCGAATAGTTGTATCGCATTTACACTTTAGATGCCTCTTATTTTTGAATTTCGAGATAAATCAAGGTTAAGTTTGCCCGAGATATGCTATGGTATGTCCAAATCAATAGTCATTTTGAAAAGGAAGAAATATGTTTAAAGGTCTCTCAAGAGGTCTATAAAGGGTGCGTTTGTCTATAACTCGAACCGACTATCGTTTCTAAGGGAGTTTCACATAGCGAATGTAGGAGGGGGATGATAAAGCGCCTGTATGTCAAAAAAAAGTTGAAACTTTCACAGAAAAGTATTTACGCTTCAGAAAGTGGTGGTTGGACCTCTGTTCACCACTATCACGCGTAAAAGCCCCTTTCTTTACTCCTAACTCTTTCCTCTTCCGTTCATCCAGAAATTTTCCGCATATATTCTCGGTCGTGATTTTTTTCTCTTCTTATTTTGCTATCCGTCAGAGGGGCGCGTTTTCGGCGCGCCAAGGGGGCGTATCTACCGATGGCAGATGTCGGCCTCCTATGGTGTAGTGGTTGTAGCGCTTGCTCTATGATCGGGGAGGTCCCGGGTTCGATTCCCGGCCAGGCAACCCGAGTTTGATGGTCTCAAACAGTGGTTGCCTGGGACTGGTTCAGTAGGGACGGAGGGGGGATGGGACTTAAAGCGTGGGATTAGCCCCTGAGGGCTATTTGAAGTAGTAAAAAAAAAAAAAAAAAAAAAAAAAAAAAGATTATGGCCTCATGGCTAGTCCGAGCCTGAGCTAAATGTATACCGGGGGATACATTTTGTCTGCGTCTAGGAGATTTGAGAAAATGGCCGGGAAACAGCTTTAAAACGACGAAAATAGTTAACACATATCTACATAGACGGCTCTAGACCTTCATGCTTGGGGGTGCCCAGAGGTGGAAAATGTCGGAGACCGAGGGGCCGGCCGCTCAGGGGAAGCCTAAGTTTCGGCCTTTAAGTTTTATCCCTTTCCTACCCTCCTTTCTCTTTTTCTCTCCTTCTCTTCTACTTAAATACCTATAAATTCAATGCAGACAATTTTTGGCAAAACTTTCCATCAAAATTACAATCTTACCATAAAATAACAGTAAAATTTTTGTAAAACACGGCTATCAATATTAATTCTGTTTAAAACATTTTCAATTAATTGCTGGGATTTTTTCTCAGTAAGTATGAGCGAATAAAGAATCTTTAAAAGCAGTAATTTCACGGTTCCAAGAACCGTACTTAATTTTTGCTAGGGGGTGCCCGGCATCCACTGGCACCCCCGTAGAACCGCCTATGCATATCTACCAGTTAGTTCCAAAAACACGTATTTCCGAACCTTGTCTTTGGCGCTTTTTTTCGGGCCATGCAACTATTCGTGCGTCTGAGCGGGCTCTGTCAACTGCAACTTCCGATTTTCACTTTTACCCACGAGTTTTCACTTCCCACTTCCGGGTTTAGCGTATTATATCCGGTTTTCACTCCTTAGTGCCGATTCTACTTTCTACCTCTGGTTTTCACTCCTTATTTCCGGTTTTTCCCCATTTCTAGTTTGCCTCTTATACAGACCAACTGTATTTAGATGTTATGATGTTCTGTTTAGATGTTATGAGCACTACTCGCCCACAGACTCATCACCCACGGGATAATTCGCCTAGACCCTTTCATCCACAACTATCGACATTTAGACCTCCATGCATTTTTGTATTCATGACTTGTTGCAAAGAAGGAGTTTTCACCTGCATGTGTTTTACTTTACTAGTAAAAGTAGTGGGGGAGGTCGAGTTGAAGGCGAACTTCATTCCGAATATCCAGTTTCCAGTTATTCAGACGTGCCCGCTAGAACGGTGCTCAATTCTAACTTTTGCAACTTTTTTCTATATCACTATCAAAACATGTTTCGGTGAGGAGAATCCAGTAAAAGTTATTGGACGTTTCGTTGTGGTGGCCATTAAAAACACGAAAATTGAAACGAGAGCCACTCGTTCTGGACATCATCATACTGAACTAAGATGTGCGATACAACTATTCCAACTCTTGAGCCGCTCAATTTGCATCCATAGAACTTGATTTCTAACTCAAGTTTCCAGTTATGTATGCACGACCGAGAGAACGGTGCTCAATTCTAACTTTTAAAACTTTTCTCAATGTCACTATCAAAATATTTTTCGGTGAAGAGAATCGAGTAAAAGTTGTTGGATGTTTCGTTGTGGTGGCCATTAAAAACACGAAAATTGAAACGAGAGCCACTCGTTCTGGACATCATACTGAACTAAGATGTGCGATACAACTATATCAACTCCTGAGCCGCTCAAATTGCATATCCATCGAATTGAAGGCGAACTTGATTTCTAAATCAAGTTTCCAGTTATGTATTCATGTCCGCGAGAACGGTGCTCAATTCTGACTTCTGCGACTTGTAACTTGATGAAAACGCTTGTAGGTAAAGAAACACGCAGGTTAAAATGGTTGTGGGTGAATATCCGTGGGTTAAAAAGTCTTGCGTGAAAATATCGAGGTGACTCACGTGAAGCTCACGAGCAGCTATGCTGCGGGTCGATTGTTGAATCGTTATCGAATGAGTTTGATCGATAACTCCCTATCTTCACAATGCTATATATCGATCAAGGTCATTCGATAACGATTCAACAATCGACCCGCAGCAATAACTTGCCTTTGATTACCGATATGAGAGCGCCACACAGTGGAAGCAGCTGATAGAAGAGGTCGGACATGAAATTTTTGCCACTACTAAAATGAAAATGGTGAAATAAAATGGTAAATGAAATGGTGATGAAATTTTTAGCTAAAATTTCAAATGTTGAAGTTTATTTTGTTACCAATTCAATTTCAAGGGGTGTATATGAAAGGAAATTTCACGAAAAAACCAATGTAACCACTCTTTAACTTTTTTGTTTCATATTTCCGAATATGTAAGCTTTCAAAGTTCCCAGATTTTGTCCGACTTCTCGTGTTGACTCGGTCCAGTGTGCGCCAGAGCGGACGAGGCTGTCTATTGTTTGTTTATATATCTTTTTATTATAGTTTTTAACTAAAGAAGTTATTAATTTTTACTCTTAGAATAAAATAAAAGTTAGAGTATTCTTATTCATCTCTTTACTTTTGTTTATGCTATTTATCAATATTTTTATACGTGCTAAGGTGAAGGCGCATCATACTTCGTAATTCCAAAAACACGAAATCTATTAATTTGTTTTATATAATTCGCCGCTTGACTGTAGCTATAATATTAAAATGGGGCAGAAAGAAATTTCAAACGTTGATGTCAAAAACGCTTATTTTCGTTGCGGGTGTCAGTCCCTAGTCCGAAAACACGTATCTCCGTATTTTTCCCCGTATTTTGTAACTGCCAACGTCACTTTCCAAAAAAACGCAGAAGGACGTAAAAATTATCTAATTTTTGATATTTTCGTCAAATTTTACGTTTGTATTATCGGGTAAAAGTAGCTTAGAAATGGTTTTAATCTCCGGAAAAAGATACGCGTGTTTTCAGAGACACGTGTTACTGGCCTGTCACCCGCGACTGGATTTTTATATAGGCAGCGCAGCGTGGGCGTATCGTCCGATCAGCTGGCAATTTTACTACCTCAACTTAAAATTTGTGGTAAAAAATAAAGGAAAGAAGTACGTGATTTTCAAAATGAAATTACCTCAAAAAATGTATTTATACGTTTGAAAACTCTTCGGGACGGAATTTCAAGTAAAACCTATTTGAAGCCCCTTCCCCCTTTAAAATTTTAAGTTATCATTCTACGACTTAACATATCTTAACAAACTCGGTAAATTTTAATTGGAAAAAACCATTCAATTTTATGTAAGAAGATACATAATTATGAAGTAAGCTGAAAAGAAAATAGTATTTCAGTGGGTAACACTTGCAAAAAAATCACGATGCATTTTTCTTCTTTTTTTTAAAAATTAATATTCGTGCCTGAAATGTTTTCTATGTATGAATGATTTCATCAAGAGTCATATACAATATCGTCTTTTAATTAACAGTAAGTACTACTAAAAGTGGAAAGAGATAATGAAATAGAAGTCTTCTGAGATTTCAGCACCCACTATGCGACCCTGATACGAGGTTGATTAAACAGCCTGAGCCTAACAGGTTAATCAACGTTTGCCAG